AGCAGTCTGATCTTCAAGCTCTCTATGACCAACTTCCTAAACCTTCTATTATAATGGGTGATCTTAATGGCCATAACCCGATATGGGGTGGTACAAGCACTAACTCTAAAGGTTAAATACTGGAAGATTTTATATCCAATAATGACTTGTGTATATAAAATCACGATTCAAGCACTAATCCGCATCCTGCAACCGGCACCTGCTCTTCTCTAGATTTGTAGACTCTAACCTCCTCAATGAATTTGACTGGTCAGTCCACAATGACCTCTGTGGAAGTGACAACTTTCCAACTATCCTTTCAGAAATTTATCCATCTGATTCCACATCTTATACGAGATGGAAATTTTCCAAGGCAGACTGGTCCTTATTTCAAACTTTATGCACATCTAAACTAAGACCCGAATATTTCAGTGATATTACTGATCCTATTGAGGTTTATTCTGACGTTTTAAATGAAATAGCTGATGAGTGTATACCAAAGTCCTCTAGAACTCCACATGTACGGAAACCATGGTTTAATACAGATTGTAGGCAAGCCAGAAAAGCGAGGAAAAAGGCAGAGAACTATAACCGCAATCACCCAACTGTCCATAACTTAAATAAATTTAAAATAAAAATGCGAAGGCACGTTGTACCTTCAAGCAAAACAAACGGCAATCTTTGAGGAACTATGTCTCCAAAATTTATTCACGTACGCCAAAGTCCAGAGTTTGGAACAAGGTTCAAAGAATTAATGGCAAAGGTTCAAAATCTGCTGTTCACCATCTTAAAGATGGCGATAATTTAATAACTGACAAATACAAAATTGCAGATAAAATTGGCGAAACTCTTGCCAAAATTCTTCATCGGCAAATTATGTCCCTGAGTTTCAGAGATATCAGAAACAACAGGAAAAGATAACAGTGAATTTTGAATCAAATAACGGTGAAGACTATAATGAACTGTTTTCATTACATGAGCTACATACAGCTCTTGAGCAAACTCATGACACTGTAGCGGGTGATGACAATATTCATTATCAGCTACTGAAACACTTACCTGAACCATGTCTGGTCACACTTTTACATATATTTGACAAAATATGGACGTCCGGAAATTTTCCTCCCTCGTGGCGTAATGCCATTGTAGTCCCGATATCAAAACCTGGCAAGGATCATACAGATCCCCCAAATTACAGACCGATATCTCTAACTAGCTGTGTCTGTAAAACCATGGAACGTATGGTGAATAATAGATTAACTTGGTATCTTGAAACCAATAACCTTGTAACAAATATTCAATGTGGTTTCAGGAAAAAATCGTAGAACCATTGATCATTTGGTACGCTTAGAATCCTTTGATAAGAATGCTAAAGTCAATAAACAACATGCTGTATCAATTTTCTTTGATCTTGAGAAAGCTTATAATACGACCTGGAAGCATGGCATTTTGAAGAATTTACATGATTCTGGTTTGAGAGGCCGTTTGCCTCTTTTTATATCACAGTTTTTAAAAGACAGGCAATTTCAAGTCCGAGTGGGTTCAATGCTGTATGATCATTACAATCAGTATCAGGGTGTCCATCAAGGCAGTATTTTGTCTGTCACTTTATTTAGTATCAACAGTTTATCCAAGGTGTTAAACGATTCAATTGATGGATCACTTTTTGTGGATGATTTTAATATTTCTTGTCGTGGTAAAATTTCAGGCAATTTCAGTTGTGTTTAAATAAAATAAATAAATGGTGTCTTGAAAACGGCTTCAAATTTTCCAAGTCTAAAACTAATTGTCTACACTTTTGTAGAAAATATAAGCCGCATAAAGAACCGGAACTATCTTTAAATGGCACTCAAATCAAAGTTGTCAAGGATGCCAAGTTCTTGGGTCTAATTTTCGACTCACATTTAACTTTTTTGCCGCATATTTAATCCCTTAAAGCTAAATGCCTGAAAGCCCTTGATTTGTTGAAAGTTGTTTCAAACTCAAAGTGGGGAGGGGATCAAACTACCCCTCCTCCACCTATATCGATCACTGATCCGCTCGAAATTTGATTATATTATATACCATCGTATATGGTGGAGCCTGCAAAGCAACCTAAAACTACTTGATTCTGTACACCACCAAGGCCTAAGACTTTGTCTTGGGTCTTTTAGAACCTCTCCTATTGATAGTCTCTATGTTGAGGCTGATGAGCCATCCCTTAACCAACGTCGTATCAAATTATCTTTACAGTTTTTAACAAAACTCTATTCTAACAAGTCTAATCCTGCATTTAACTCAGTTTTCAATCCTCTTTATGAGGTTTTATACAACAAAAAGCCTTCTCTTCTTCTTCTTCGTGTTTTATATTGTATTGTCTTCTTTAATTGGAATGTTTTAGCTTTGTTAGCTAGTTATATGTTATATCTGTGATTGTCTAGTATGTTTACTGTCCATCGTCGACAGGTTTTAATCTTCAAAATATTTTCATTTTTGGGGTATAAATTGCTTTCGTCACGATATGGGTGAGATGCTGCCGATGTGACGTTAAATATTTTAACACAGTCACACTGTCAATAATCATTGAAAACGCACTAGTCTAAAATTGTCCATATTTTCATCAAGATGGATATCAGCATGACAATGATCAATGAATATTACTAACATGAAGTCGAAGGGCATGTCCAGTTGAAAAACAATGCTTTAGAAACAAATTCTTGTCCTGTCTTAATTCCAAAATGCATCAACATGCAGCCACGCCATAAAAAAAGGGCAAATTTCATTCTGAAATCAGACTGACTGTGACATTAAAAGCAGGTGTATGAGAACCGATTCCCATTGCTTCACTAACAGTTGTGAAACGAGGACAGAGATGTCAAAAACACCTCACAAAAGAGAACGTGCACTAGGCATGATTCAGGATGGCACTAGCAGCAGGGATATTGCTCGGCAACTTGGACTTGGCCACTCCACCATCGTTAGGCTTCATAGACGACATCAGTAGTCAGGCAGCACCCGTTACCTTCAATGACCTTGGCAACGACGTATTACGACGCTCCATCAGGATCGCCAAATTGACCTTATCCATATCAGTGATTGAACACTGCGGACTGCAAGTACTGCTGCACTAGTCTAGTTCAAGGTTGACGTGGGGGTCATCAGAGCCATGCGACGCTGTCTACACGCTACAGGGCTCCATGCTCGACGTCCTTACGTTGGACCAATTCTGACTGACAGACACCGTAATGAGCGTATACAATGGACTAGCAGGCATTTTCAGTAAAGTTACAACAATGGCATGGTGTGGTAGTCACTGACGAGTCACGTCTTTATCAAAGTAATGCTGACGGCCGGTTATGTGTTTGGCGCAGACGTGGTGAACGTTATACTGATGAGTGTGTGACAGATCTTTAGGGGGTGGGAGTGTCATGGTCTGGGGTGAAATAAATTACAATCACAGGACTGCCTTCATAATGCCCTTTATTAATGTGAGCGGATTCTTCAGAATCACATCGTATGTGTCTTCAATCACCACCAAGATGTCCATACTTTTCAACAGGACAACGCACGGATGTATCCCCCATTGAGCACTTGTTGGACAAATTTGGTCAAAGTCTTTCGCGGCGACAACAGATGCGAAGCATCTGGGAACTTGAGGCTGCACTACTGCAGAAGTGGAATGCCATCCTCAAGAACTCTATTCGGACGCTTATTGACTCAATGATGAGACATTGAACTGCATGCGTCAATGCAAATGGTGGTCACACGCGATATTGACTTTTCTATTTGACCCCACGTGTGTTTGATCCTTTCTGACTGTGGAACATTTCAATGAATGAGCGTTTTTTCTGTGATGTTGTTTTTATCAGTCATCCATCTGTTACTATCCACTAAAAAAAAAAATCAATTCCTTACATGTGCTTTTAATAATCTGAATTTTTATAAATGGTGTGTTTTCAATGATGTTCAGTAAATATATATAGAATGCCTTTTTCTCCAACATGTTTCGTTCTTTACTCTACAGGGAGATTGTCTGAATCTCCCTGCAGAGTAAAGAAAGAAACATGTTTTTATTCTATCTATGTAATAAATTTGACTGAACACCTGTACTCTTTTGGACATTGTTGTGCGTATATATATATATATATATATATATATATATATATATATATATATATATATATATATATATATATATATATAATTAGACTAACAACTAGTCTCTGAAATGAACATATTTTACTGAAAAAAGTTCATAGTAAAAAAATATATATATAATGAAAAAGAGCCCTGAGACTTTTTTCATTTTCAGCCTGAAGCTGATGAAAATCTAGACTTGCCACATGTTCTAGACTTGTGTGGGCTTTCTTGGATATATTTGCTTCAGGGTCTGTACGAGAGACTAATATATATGCAACATATATATAACTCTGTCAACGAAGGACAGTAAACTTACTAGATTATCACAAAATGAGTTAAAACTAGCTAGCATATGTCTTAAAAAGCAGAAAACTATTTTTGGACAATACAATGTGCAAATGGGCTAGTAATCGCCTCTAACGAACCTGAAGTCAGATCTCCCCATTCACCAGCTTACGTAGCCAGGTAAGCAGTTTCTTCCCTTGCACTAGGCTTTCACAACATCAGTAGTACATTTACATGCAATGATGCTATAGTTACCTTCTTAATTCTAGAAAGGGTATGATGTACGCGTTAAAAAATATTTTGATTCGCATGCATTTTGACAATCATGCCCTGGGTTTATTCTTTTTTTATCTTATTCAGTGTGAGTGTGTATTTCACGGTGTAAAATAGAAACATACAACTAATTAGACAGTCACCAATCCCTGTTGTCACATTTTAGAATGATCAACATAAAGCTGCTACAAATATATCGTCGTACTTCAAATGTAAGTATGTAACTCGGAGGAAATAATGATAAGCAATTTGGTATAATTTAGGAAACATTAATGTACGCCTGGTAACGAAACATGCACGTGAGAGGAAATAGTAAAATAAGACCCATATCTGCTTCTGCTTACTGCCAGAACTCCTCTGCCGCCGTGTGGGCCAGGCTGTCATTGGTTCCCCATCTGTAAGTGCCGGTACTGTTGATGTACTCTGTTAGGGTCGAGCTCATATCCGTCCCATTTAACACTGTAGAGTTGCTGACTGAATACAAAAAGACGAGCTTTTTCATTATTTTGATGTCGGGTTTTGTTTCAACTGGAAAGTAAAGTGGCCGATATGCTGCTTTGGCACTACTAACACACAAATAACAATAATGCATAATACTGCGTTGATTTATTGATCACACCAATTCACAATTATTATGTTCTCTGTACGGTATCAGAAAGATTAAGGCTGGAAGTTGTAGTATTGACTGAACAAGTGCACCAACACGTTATATGCCGCACGTACGTCACCGGCAGTGAAGAAACCCTACATGTTGCCTAGGAGAGCATCATCGATTGTAATAATTTGCCGAAATATATGCACATAAATTTCCGCGATTGTGGATACTTATTGGTATGTCGAAGCGACATGATGTAACTCTTGTTTATTGGTTAGAACAATACGTTACGATGCCATATTATAATGACGTAACAGCTGGATAAAACTCAGTCACAATTTGTTTGCAAGGTTTCCAAATGCGTTTTCTAGCATTTACGTTTTCATAATAAAAGCGCGTAATATATACGCAGAACATAAGTGTTGATAATCCTTAACTTGACAAACAAATACAAAATATGACGAACTGTTTGGTCTTCAAGGGAAAGGAGAAATATTTTGTTGCTGGTGTCCTCCCGGGAGACTCTAGCCCTCTTTATAAACAGACAAGGTACAGTTGGCTGAATAACCGGCCAAATCTTATGTTTACTGTTGTCGTTTTCTTTCGCTCTCTTATCCTGCTATTCTCCTCTGACTTTAAGGGAAACTCTGGATATGAGAGAGATAAATTCAAGTACCAAATGGCAGTAAAATACCCCAGTAGAAACCGCTTAAGTCTCAAGTCATACCGGTGTACAAATTTTGTGGGCGTGATTAGCCGTGTGACCACTGGCAATTAGTGAATGTAGCAAAATTGTCGTACATTTACTCATTGCTTATCTCAGTAGGATGTGAATGTCCTTTGTAAACATATGAACCACCCTTTCGTCTTCTATTTTGAATCCAGTACTGAGTGGAGTGATATATCTTCAGTTCGCTTTCTTCTTATATTTTAACATGAATTCCTACTTCCAGTGCGTGTATTCACTGACAATGTCATGGGCACTCTGCAACAAGCTTGGGGAAATACATCGTACCTTCAGTTCGCCCTTGGGACATGACTTGAAGGCTTCTCACACAGACGCCAGTGTTCCACGAGTTGCCACAGTCCGTCCAGGGAAGGACAGCTCGACAAGAGAAGACGGCGTAGTACAGTGCCCACGCGCAGATGGTCGTGTAGTACACGACGGTGCCGGCAGACATAATCAGCATCCCGATCCCAACACCTGATGGAGAAGAATCAATATGAAGCTAGTATGATTACAAATGCATGTCAGGTCTACCACCAATGAAGTGCTCATCAAGCAGTAGGGGACACATGAACTTTAAACGTCCACAAATCAGACACGAACTGTTAATGTTCGTTCGACCTAACCATACCTTTCATTAGGGGACACACGCTCCACACATGGGTTGCACTCTTTCCAGAAAACTGTCCCACTGCGACCTCCAGGAAGAACAGAGGAAGGCCACACAGCACCAGACACACAATGAATGGGATGAGGAAGGCTCCTGGAACAGAGACGCCAATGGAAACTGTGTTCGTTCGTTTGTGTGTGAATTTAATTCTTAGCATTATTCCTGCCATGTCATTCGCGGAGTACATTAACCAAAACCATTTACCCCGTGTATGTATACGGAACAGAGAGATAAAGGATATCTCCAAAGTCTCAACAACATCTTGTTGTCAACGCTACCATGAATGAGAAATATATTTACAAATTCATCGAAGGGTTTTTTGCATATCATCATGAGTGAGTGAGTTAAGGTTTATAGTCACATCGGCAATATTTAAAAAGTTATGAACTGATAATAAATGGAATTAAATTACAAAAACCTGTCGACGTAAAATAACTAGATTATCACAGATAAAATGTTTTAGATTTATTTACTGGTTTTACGTTTCTAACTATAGACGACAACACAATATAAAACCAGGCTGTAGATCGCCAACAACTGAATGTTGATCACTATACTAGGGACCATGGGGACTTACAGTGCGTGTGCTACCTGCATGGACCCTAATTGTATTACACCATCCCTTCAGCCGCTGGTGATTGTAGGAATAAATTAGCCGAAATATAAAAGAACAAAAATACTACGTTTATAAATCTGATAAGCTTAAATTTAGTTTTGAAAGTTTTTGGACTTAAGTGCATATCATCATGACATTGCTCCGTTAGCCAGGTCATGAAAATAAACAAATGTTCTCTACATAAGAAAATACCTCCTCCGTTTCTATTGCAGATATAAGGAAACCGCCACAGGTTTCCAAGTCCAACACAGTAGCCGATAACAGACAAGAGGTACTCAATCTGTGAACCCCATGCTCCTCTCGCTGATGATTTTTGTACTTTCTCAGAGTCGATTCTGTCGAACGATTCAGACAAGACGATCACCTCCGCATCTTTCTCCCCCTTGTCGCTTCCAGAATCCATCACTGAAATACATATACATGTTTCTTTCTGTCAAGTCACTATTTTAATCAAACAACCAAGAAACCATTCCAAAGCAAAAGCGAAATAGATGTGATATTATTTCGAACTATCCAAAAGCCAGTTATTACACAATTAAAATACAATAGGAATGCATACTATGACCGGATATCTTTACGTTTCGCAATATTTCGGCGCTTATTTCATGTGAACCTGTACCTATGAAACATACACTCATCGTACTTTGACGAATGCAAAAGCACCTTTTATGCTCTGACTATGCTATAAATTGAAAAGTTGATAACTCAAGATATGCTTAATCACACAATATTTCCAATACATTCCTTTCATTACAATAGGTGTTGAAATTTCCGAATCTTTTCAAAACTGTCTAACGTTTTAGATGATTCAATTGATGGATCACTTTTTATGGATGATTCTAACATTTCATGTCGTGGCAAAAATATCAATACTATTGAAAAAGAGCTACAATTATAAAATGGTCTTCGGAAAATGTACTTAAATTTTCCAAGGAAAAACGCATTTTATCCACTTTTGTAGGACATGCAAACCTCACAGTGACCAAGAACAAGTCTTAGATGGCACTCCTACTAAAGTTGTCAAGGAGGCAAAGTTATAGTGTATCATTTTCGATAGCCATTTTACCTTTTCATCACACATCAAATATTTTAAAATTTAAATGCCGTTGACGTGTTGAAAGTTGTTTCACACTGAAAACCCTCCTCCTTTTATATAGACGTCTAATACGTTTCAAAGACGGTTTTGGCTCAATCGTCTATGGTTGAGCCTGTAAAAGTAAATTAAATCAAGACTTCTCCAGTTAATAGCCTGTATGTTGAAGCTGGTGAGCCGTCTCTATCACATCGTCGTAAAACAATGCTCTTACAGTACATACCTACACATTTTTCAAATCGATCTAATTCAGGTTTTGACTTTGATATCACTTCTCTTTATCAGGATCTGTTTTGTAAGAAAAAATCACCAATTCCACCCAAAGGAATTAGAATAATACCTGACATAACTGCAGCAAAAATTGACCGAAATATGTTCTACTACTCAGTGGGAGCTAGTTCAGCCATAAAGGTGATCTTTCATTAACGCGACTAACAAAATCAGACACAAATGAACTTATCTATCATCAAGAATATAATCAATTAAAAAACACCTACATTACTCACAATTCACGTTTTTACAGATGGACAAAGGATGGTGACACGTTTGCTAGTGCTGTTGTCATTGGTTGCAAAACCGTATCATCAAGACTATAAAATAATACATATATTTTCTTACAGCGAAATCAAAAGCTGTGTTAACAGCTCTTAACTATATAAATGCTCAAACTAAATGTAAGCAGTTCATTATATTTTCTGATTCCCTCGTCTGTCCCCATGCCAACAACATGAATGCTTTTCACACATAACATGAAGCGGTTTCTTATTGTCTCTCTTCCATCCAGTGTTAAGATATGGTCGAAACGACGTTATTTGAATGTATGTAACAGCTGCTGTTACACTGGGTAATATATTCTTTGTGTGCTTCAATACAGTCACTAGCACATGAATAGTTGTCAGGGGTAAAATCCAGTCCACGGAAACAGTTTTCTGTTTCATGACAGTAGAGAGTCTGTTCGCCACAGCTTGCGTTAAGGGTAAGTGTGGAGGCGTCACTAAGATGGCGGGTGTGTTTTGAATCCTGTCCGACCCTTTTATTAAAATTGCTGAGATTTTTAACTCCAATGCTGTTAAGTCAAGTCTGGCGATCAGTCTGCAAAGAGGACGAAGCTACCCGACACTCCACAGAGTACTACGAACTCAGCCACGTCACCTGTTGTTGCCTCTGGAGCTGCTGTGAGGAATGCCGGCAAAAGTATTTCTCTGCCTTCTTCCTACACTTCCTGGCCTGTCTGCAATCATCAGTTAACCATGGTTTACGAATGCGTGGTGTCGCAGATGACTTAGGAATAGTTACATCAGCAACTGTATTCAGTTTATCAGAGAACAACGGAATAAGATCCCGAGCATTGATAAAATAGTCAGATTTCAGTTCGTCAGTACAAAGTGTCTGAAATAGTGACCAGTTGGCCTTATTAAAATTCCGCCTTATTGCAGGAGGATCATCAGTCGGGTTTCTAGCTGAAAGTATTGTGGGGAAATAATCACTTCCACACAGGTCATCATGAACTGACCATTCAAATTCGTTATAAACCTTTTGGGTCTGTTAGTGATAGATCTAGTGCAGAATATGTTCCTGAACCAAGGTGTAAATACGTGGCTGATTCATCATCAAATATGCATAGATTATTATTAGAAATGAAGTCTTCGGGGATTTTCCACAAAGAGTTATGACCGTTAAGATCACCCATGGTAATACAGGGCTTAGGAAGCTGGTCGAAATATATCCTGAAGATCGGAGAAATGTACAATGGACAAAGAGTGAAGGTTATTTGTAAAGTAACACGGACAGCAACCGCCTGACGATTACTTTTAAGGGGGGCAGGGCTATGAATAACACCCTGCCTCACCAAAACAGAAGCGACGCCGGTGGCTATTTACCTGGAGATGAAAATGAATCGAATGACTTGTACTAATGAATTTCAAATTTGTTTGTATTTTTCAGGTATGTCTCTTGTAAACTAAACCCAGATGGTTTATAACCCTGTGCTTATAATTGTAGATCATGAAAATTGTTCCTAAGACCCCCTGAATTCCATTGAATTAAGTTCATAAAACTGCTTATGGTGGTTTGACTGGAGATCGTGAGTGCAAGCAGGCGTCACTCCTACACGCTGTGCGTGAAGGATCAATCTCCATGTCAAGTGGTTCAAATGAATGAGAACTCAAAGAAGGAGTCCCTTCCAAATGCTGAAGTGGTCTGTTCTTTCTCCTTGACTTTTTTTTTCTTTTCTTGAAAGTTAGGCAACACTCTGTGTTGTCTGGGTTGAATGTATATTTTCTGGTTGCATTTCGTCAGTCTGGGAGGCTGATGAGCGTTGACAATCGTTTGACGTTGGACCAGTGTCATTCAAGGTTATTTGATCATCATTCACACATCATAGAACGGTTTGGCAGGCAGCTGAAACTGACTGAGATTTAAGAACAGTGTCAGAGGAGAAGAAGAAACTGTGGGTGAGTATGTTGGTCCGGTAGAAGGTTTAGACTATACATTTACTACTTTGGTTGCTTCAATATATGAAATGTTGTTAGTAAATTTGATTTTGACAACTTTGGCCTCGTATTCAAACTTTGGGCAAGATTTGGAGGATGCCAGATGATCACCACCACATTTGGCGCATCGTATGGTATCACTGCAGTCAGTACTCTAGTGACTTCCACTGCACAATGTCAAATTTTTTGGCACTTGTAACACCAAAGTGGATTTGGTACATATACCTCAACTCCGATGTTACAGTATCCAACATTAGTGGATTTTGGAAGCTTTGTCATACCAAACGTGAAAAGATATGTATTTGTTTCACAATGTTGGAGTCTTGTTTCCTGGTAAAACGCTTCACAGTAGTAACGCCTTGGTCCTTTAATCGTGTTCATCCAGGCACACCGCTTCATCGGATGAAGAAGAAAGATGTCTCCGTTTATTTGTTTTAGACGAATCAGAATGCATGTTTTGAGCCATAGTAGAACTATGATGTTCAGCAACCCTGCCCTCCCACCCGCCATCGAGTGTCAACGAGGACGATGTTGCAATGAAAACCAGACTGCAATACCAGGGCTATAGGGATGCTGTACTCCAGAAATACAGACATGAATAGCTTAGAAATCTAAAAGATCAAATGTCAGGCTGGTTCGGCCCATGACATAAGTCTCAAGAAACTCAGGATTCAGATATCCATATCACCAGATTGGCCGATGAGCCACCGCCTTCGGGCACAGGACTCTATGCAATGTAATTTCGTCAAACGTTTGAACATTCAATTGTTCAAAACATCAAATATCGAAAACAGTTTCCATGACCAGCCGATTGATACAATCGGGCCCATTCTACCACCCGTCTAGGTGAAGCAAGGGCGAAGTGGTGTGTTGGGCAAAGGAACACTGTTCCTGGAACCAGTGCCCTCAACCACCAGACTCCCGTCCTCCACCGACACAGGGGCGCAACCCACGGCAAACAGGTTGCCCACTTCGGTCTAAAAGACCAGCAATGGGGTGCTGTGGACCAACGCTCTTAGCGTTATCCAGCACCCACCACGAAGAGGTGGCTCTTTACGGGTGCCTCCTCCTGCTACATGGAAGCGGTCTGAAAATAGTCGACCATGGACCAGACAATCAAGTGATCGACTGCATGAGCATCGATCTATGCAGTTGAGATACGCTGACATGTCAACCAAATCAGCAAGCCTGGCCATCCGATCCTGTTGTCTTACCCAAATCTTCGTGGGCCTTACATCTGACACCAGCCTCCCACACACCCTCGAGTTACACAAACGAGCATTCACACATATACCAACGGCAAGCCGACAGTAGAATGTTACACTCAACATGCTGCATTTGATGTAAGAGGACGTGTATTCCTTTAGAATGCTTGGAAAAAGTCAGCGAGGATGACCACCCGATCTTTTTAGTTATGACAAGCATGGATTCCAGAAGACCAGTTCAAACTCGCATCTCCATGGGTGTCCTACTTTGCCTTTTCTCGCTACTGCTTTATCTTTGGGAAGGCCATCAATGCAGTACAGGGAAATATAATCAAAATAATATTTACATAAAGGTTAGATATCTAGAGAGTCCAGTGCATTGAAGTGAGGACCGTATGCACTTGCATCTGTTGTTACACCCTCCTGACAAGTGTGAGTGAGTGAGTTAAGATTCAACGTCACATCGGCAATATTTCAGCCATATCGTGACAAGAACATATTTGACAAATGGAACATGTGTATATTATATATACCTGTCGTCAAAGGACAGTATACCTCCTGACAAGACGTTGATGCGTGGTGAAATGTTGTCCATTGGGTACATATTTACCTCTT